CGAATGGAACCATTGCGCTCAAGTTCGATATGGAGCAAGTCTGGATGGCCCACCAGAACATCAAGATCTACATCACCTACAGGCCTAGTACACCAACACCACAGTACATGCATATTCACTAACTCTGTGTTGTGCAGAGTGATCAAGCAGGGACAGTGGACAGTGGACGGCAGACAGTGGACAGCAATGTACAGCAGCAGCTATGGTGGACAGCAGACAGTGAACAACAGCCAGGCTAGAGGGTGGACCACAACACTTTGCTGTAATGTGTGTATTGAATATATGTGACACCAACAAAATCACCTTCTTCCCACCTTGAAGGCATGGTTGTTGTGGTCATGTCCACCTCATGATGTGCTTCTCTCTCATTCCCACCTCGAGGTGTTCCCAAGGTGGACTTGAAGATGGTGTGTTCGATCTTCTGTCCACCTAGGTGCACCCAAGGTGGACTTGAAGATGGCACGTTCCGTCTTCTGTCCACCTAGGTGCACCTGAGGTGGACAGGAGTGATGGAATGTTCCAGCTTTTGCCCACCAAGGCGAGCTGGTTCGTCTCTGGGTCACCTTTTTGGGCGGGACAAGGTGGAATCGCCTGTCTTGGTGGCCAAAACCAGCTTTCGCCCATCTACCATCCTGGCAGTGATAGGTCAGGGACGACTCGTTGGGGCTAGCGACTGCGAGGGGGTGTGTACCGCGGATGTCAACGACCATGGCCGGGTCGAAATAGTTGGAGCCCTTGCCATCAGGGGCCATGGTGATGTAGCCGCACTGGTTGGAGACCACGCGCGTCGAGTTGATGATGTTGTCGCTCGACCAGTGCGTGTGCCCGAAGCCCCACACCACCTGGTTGCCGCACACAGCAATTGTTAGCCGCAACACGACACGCACGAAACGCACGACACGCACCACAGGGTCTTCCATCATCCATTCGAGGTCGTCGTAGCAGATCTCTTCGATCCCGGCGTCTTCGGGGCTGATGCAGCGGAACTTGGACGGGGCGTGGTGGGTCAGCACGACCACCTTGACCTTCTCCTCCGGCTCAGCAATGACGCCGTTGGCCTCCTTGACGCGTTCGATCTCCTGCACGAGCCAGTCGACGTGCTGCTCGTGCCACAGGTTCGTTTCGTGGGGCGTGAGCCGATGCTTCACCGGTGCCTCCTCGCCTTCGCTCTTTTGCGCTTCGTCTTCGCTCTTTGGCCGCAGGCCGGGCACGATTTTCTTGTAGACAAGCGACATCATATGCGACATCATGCCGCCGTCATCCCCGACGGCGGACGGCGAGGGTTCGATCGCCTTCCCCTCCGCCACAATCCTGCGGTAGTCGTTGCACATCGTCCACACCTTGCTGATCGACTCCGGTGGAATGTAGGGCTGCCACGGCCACCGCACACGCCATGCGGTGGCCGTGGCTCGATTAGGCGTAAAGCATGAATCAATGATTGGCCGCTGGTGCTAGGCCTGACAATGGGGAGACGGTACCCAGAGGGTGCAGCCGAGGAAGAGCACGTCGCCCACGCGAACGCTGCGCTTGTTGAGGTAATGCAGGTTGTCTCGCTCCGCGCAGATCTCGTCCTGTTGCGCGTCGTGGTGCAGGCAGGGAGTGGTGAGAGGATGTGCGGCGAGAGAGAGAGGAGGGGGGGAGAAGCTGAGCGGAGGAGACAAGGGTACGATCAGGCGGTCGGCATGTTGGACGCTCTCCTGGTTGTAGTACTCGTGGTTGCCGGCCACGACCAGCACGTGCTCGAACCGGTCGGCCTGCTCCAGCAGGTACGCCCGGTAGTTCGCCTTGTTCGGGTACCCGATGTCCCCTGCACCAAATAAAACATCGATAAAAATTGCCAGTTAAAATAAAAATTCTTATTCAGAATATTACTTCGAAAGAACGAAAGAGGAGTTGGTGGTGTGCGGGGGGAGGCGGGTGGGGGGCAGCAAACCAAGGAGGCAGAGGATGGGGGCGTTGGCGGGGATGTGAGGCAGCTTGTCGAGGCAGCCCGGGAACTCGAGGTGCAGGTCGCTCACCAATTGAAACCGCACCACGGCCTCTTTGCTCGTCTTCAGCGGCACATCTACGACTGGAAGTTCTTCTTCCACCTCTTCCTCCTCACCTACCAGCTGCTGCTGATCTTGTGGCTCCTTCTCCATGCTGACGATGGGGTTATAACATGCTTGTATGTGGAGCAAGGTGGGACGTGGCAAAAAGAGTAGTTCCTGATTGGCCAACCGTTTTTGAAAAAAAACCAAAAATAAAAAATTAACGGGGCAAGAAAAACAAGAAAAAAACAACATGCACAAGCTGGGCCAGAAACGCAACTACATGAGGAGGCAGTTGCGTTCCTCGGCTGGAGGAAGAAGAAAGAGAGGCGAAAGTGAAAGTAAGGTTAGCAAACCATCGGCCGTAACTGAACTCCAACATTAGAGGCGACGTACTCGTGGGCGTGGACTTGATTAACTCCAGCGACTCTGCGCCCAGCAATCATGACCCACACAAAAAAGCACAAACACAGATGATTAGATCGGGAGGCACTGATACGCGCATCAGGCTGGATGTGATACGCACCGTGGACGTCAACGACCATGGCCGGGTCGAAATAGTTGGAGCCCTTGCCATCAGGGGCCGTGGTGATGTAGCCGCACTGGTTGGAGACCACGCGCGTCGAGTTGATGATGTTGTCGCTCGACCAGTGCGTGTGCCCGAAGCCCCACACCACCTGGTTGCCGTACACAGCAATTGTTAGCCGCCACACGCCAAACACGACACACCGCACATGACACGACACGCATATGACACGCACCACAGGGTCTTCCATCATCCATTCGAGGTCGTCGTAGCAGATCTCTTCGATCCCGGCAGCCTCGGGGTGGATGCAGCGGAACTTGGACGGGGCGTGGTGGGTCAGCACGACCACCTTGACCTTCTCTCCATCGACGCCAGCAGTGCGTTCGTTGGCCTCCTTGACGCGTTCGATCTCCTGCACGAGCCAGTCGACGTGCTGCTCGTGCCACAGGTTCGTCTCGTGGGGCGTAAGCTGATGGTACTCCTTCTCCGCAGCCCCAGCTTCCGCATTTTCGCCTTCGTTCTTTCGAGCGTCGTCTTCGCTCTTTGCCGGTGGCGGGCCGCTCTTCACCGCTTCGGTCACATTTTTGTAGACGAGTGACATCAGCGACATGAGGCCGCCCGACGTCGTCTCGTGTTCCAGCGCCTTCCCCTCCACCACTATCTTGTAGTCATTGCACCTCATCCACACCTTCTCGATCGCCTCTGGCGGAATGTACGGCTGCCAGGTAGAAGAAGGAAGGAAGGAAGGAATGCATGGTTAGTCAGAGTGACCGCAAGGCTTGGAAGAAGAAGCGACGGTACCCAGAGGGTGCAGCCGAGGAAGAGCACGTCGCCCACGCGGACGCTGCGCTTGTTGAGGTAATGCAGGTTGTCTCGCTCCGCGCAGATCTCGTCCTGTTGCGTCGCGGTTCGTAGAGTATGAGACACAGTGATCGTTGCTCTGCGGCAGCAGGAGGAGGAGACAATGGTACGATCAGGCGGTCGGCATGCTGGACGCTCTCCTGGTTGTAGTACTCGTGGTTGCCGGCCACGACCAGCACGTGCTCGAACCGGTCGGCCTGCTCCAGCAGGTACGCCCGGTAGTTCGCCTTGTTCGGGTACCCAATGTCCCCTGCACCAAGTAAACATCGACAAAAATAAGTCAGTTAAAAAGATGAAAATGAAATTCTTATTCAATTTAGCATATTACTTCTCCAGAACGAAAGAGAAGTTGGTGGTGTGCGGGGAGGCGGGGGGGGGGGCAGAAAACCAAGGAGGCAGAGGATGGGGGCGTTGACGGGGATGTGAGGCAGCTTGTCGAGGCAGCCCGGGAACTCGAGGTGCAGGTCGCTCACCAACTGAAACCGCACCCCTGCCTTCCCCTCCTTCCTAGTCTGTGGCACGTCCACGACTGGCAGTTCTTCCTCCTCCTCCTCTTCGCCCTCTTCCACATCTGCATCTTTGTCTTTCTTTTCCTCAACTTCTGTGTTCGGTTTGTCATCGTGGTCGTCGTGGTCATCCCCCTTACGTTGCTCAAGCTCTGGCTGTGAGGCCTCCGCCCCCAATCGTTGCTCCTGCTCCATCTTCTTGTGTGCGGGTGTGGCGCTTTCTTTCTTTTGTGTGCGTTTGTGTCACGACCCGACAGTTTACGTTGTTTAGCTTGATTGGTGGGTCTTGGCCTCACGAGCAGTCGCTGGCCGCGCTGAGCGCCTTGAGCGCGTGGCTGCCGGCGAGCGAGACTAGTTCGGCGCGCTTGGGGTGCGGAGGCACGCCCTCCCGACCCACGGCCTGCGCGTTCGGGGGGGGGGAAGAGGGCCATCAGGTGTTGGTCACCCACTGAGAGGAAAGGAGAGTGAGCGAGGGTACGTACCAGCGCGCCGGCGGCGGACGCCAGTGCCAGGGACTTGTCGACGTCCCGGTCCTGCAGATACTGCGCCAAGAAGGAGCCCGTGAAGCAGTCGCCGGCTCCTGTGGTGTCCTTGACTGTGCATGTGTGGGAGTGTGCGTGTGCGTGTATTAGAGTCAAGATGTGGCTTGCGGGTGAGCAATGTGAAGGCGAGGCGGCGTACTGGGTACGTCGAAGGCAGCGTGGGTCCACACCTGCCGGCCTCTCTTGGCGATGGCGCCCTGTGGCCCCGTGGTGATGACCACGAGCGCGTCGTTGTCCCTCGTCAGCTCCTCCAGCGCCTCATGTACGCTGCCCCTCCCAGAGATCGCCATCGCCTCTGTCTCGTTGGGGAAGAACAGGTCCATCTACACACACACGCACGCACACGCACGCACACACATGCACACACGATACGGCTCTACATGAGTCGCTCATGAGCCCGTGCCAACCCGCGCGCACGGCGACGTACCAGGCGTATGACGTCGTGTATGCCGTCCTTCCACTGGTTGGCCGGATCGAAGCCCGTGTCGAGCGACAGCGTGATCCCTCGGTCCCTGAGCTCTCGCAGAAGATCGAGGAACCCTGTCTGCAGCCCTCGCAACATGAAATATCCACAAAAATGCTGTATCCCGCGGTTAGTTTCCTATGTGCGGTGGTGCGTGTGCGTGTGCGTGTGCGTGTGCGTGTGCGGTCAATGGCTGCCGTACTACATGCGTGCAAGAACGTAGGAGCGGGAGGTCGAGGTCGGCGAATGTCACGGCCGCTGTGGCACCATAGGTGCTTACAAACGCCCGATCCTCCTTGCCGCTGAGGCACATGCACACTGCCGTCGGCGCCGACTCCAACACCACCACACCTGCCACACTGGTAAGCACGCTATACTCTTCTTGCAAGCCATTGATATATATACAGAGAGAGAGAGAGACCTGTGGTATCGACGGCCGACTGTTGGTTGGCGATGCTCACGAGGGTGTGGCCGAAGTGATCGCGGCCCACTGCGCCAAACAGCACCACGCCGTCCTGCCCACTACTGCGGTCATTGTCCAGCCCGAGCGCGGCCGATGTACTCATCGCTGTGTT